TATTTTATTATTTATCTGGCATTTGATAACAATATGCTGTGCGAATTTTTCTCACGGGTCTACTAGTTAGTGAATAATTTGATAATTCTTCTTTTTGCGATATTCCAACAGAATCCACTTACAATTAGTGTGACAACTTTTGACCTATCTATGACAGACAATGCAAATCTCTTAATTCCGTTTTAATAAACTTTGCAATGGAAAATAAAAGTTTAATAACTAATACTCGTACACTCCATAGTCAACGGATCGAATAATCCATAATCAACGAATCGTACAATCCATGATCAAACGGTAATATAATAAATAGGACTTTTGTTATTTTAATAGTGTTTATGGTTTGTTAGCTGCATTTTTTTAGCTTTAGCTCAGTTATAAATGCAATTAAAAACATTTTATAATAGCGCAACATGGTCAGAAAATAATTTCTATTCAATTTTGAGCAAAGTTAAAAGAGTAAGTAAAAGTTGTGTGTTGCGCGCAACAGATTTTTTCTAAAGAGATAACTTTTTTATTTTATTTCTTAAAGACATTTACAACTGTATTAAATAAATACATCTATTAAATTAGAACATAATGTATATAATGACATGAAAAACTTGCTGAGTAACTACCCAATGGTAGCACTCTAATGATATGTTTACATTAGGAGATCACCATCTTCTTTCAGACGCCTCGGAGGGTTATGAGGAATTGAAGAGGAAGCAAGGTTAGAAACGAGAGGGTTGGGATGATTCTGAAGTTTATTATGGAAGGATAGGTATCTGGATTGGGCCAGATCTGAAACATATGGAACATTAAGGTCATTATGGATGGTTTTATTTGTAACAAAGTAGGGAGCATTGAGGATTTTACGAAGAATTTTGGATTGTAAGGATTGGATACGAGAGAAATTCGATGGTTTAGTGGAGCCCCATAGCTCAACTCCGTAAGTCCAAATAGGCCTTATTATAGTCAAGTATATGAGTCTTTTGTAATTAATGGGAAGTTTAGAGCGTTTGTCTAGTAAGTGCTGAAGTAATCGGAAACGTCGAGCGGTTTCTTGTCGTTTCAGTCTAGTATGAGGATTCCAAGTTAGTCGTTTGTCCAGGTGGAGTCCTAGGTATCGGATTTGCTCAACAGGGATAAGTAGAGTATTGTTAAAGGAAACTGTAGGACAGGAAGTTGTTGGTTTACGACGAAGGGTAAAGGTAATTTGGTGGGATTTATTGGAGTTTATTTTAATTCTCCAGTTTTGACACCATTCTTCTAGATTTATGATGTGTGATTGAAGCATTTGGGATGCAATTGATGGATCATTATTTACTGATAGGATACATGTGTCATCGGCATATGTGGTGAATGACAGTGTTGGGATAGGTAGGGACGTCAGCTGTATGAACTATATAGACGATAGGGCCTAGGATACTACCTTGAGGAACACCAGCGGACTGGGAAGAGATAACTTAAAAAAATAACTAGCATTTTATGAAATATAAAATAAAAAATTACATTTTCATAAGACATAGTTAATGGTTCATGGATGAATAACATGGATTGATGCGTCATTAATTTATTATTTTTGTGCTTTTGTTTATCAAATTGACCAACATTTTTAGATAGGCTAATAGATAGCCTGAAATAGGCAACAGGAAATACTCTAGGACCAACGGATCCCAATTTTGTATACTTATTATACTGCCCCGCAAACAATAAGTCCTACATCAGATTCCTCTAAAGTAGTCTGAAACTATTTGCTTCTCAAATTCGTGAATAGCTTCCAAATGTAAAATTTTATCAAATTAGTTACCTACTAAGTGGTATAAAATTATTACACATAATTTTTGGTACGTTTTTCATCGGCCATGTCCGATTTGTGAAAAGCTTCCAAAAAATTTATTCATAATTTTATAAAACAACAATAATAATATTAGCGTGTTCTGAAATGATTCTCACCATTTTTTTGCCTGCTGCTGGTCAAGTACTTTTTGATATTTTTAGAATTGTCAGATTCATGTAAAGCTTACAAAATTTTATCTGACTTTATTAAATCTGTTACCTGCAAAATGGTCTGAAACTATTCCAATTGGTTTTTGCTTGCTGCTGATAACGTAATTTTTGAAATTTTGAAAGCTATTAGATTTGTATAAAGCTTCCAAAATTTTGTCTAACTTTATTAAAACTGTCATCTGCTGAGTTGTATGAAACCATTCCAGTTTTCAATTCGATAATTTGGGAGTTTAAACAGGTTTTTTTCTGCTACTGATTACGTAATTTTTTGGCATTTTTTTACCAAAACAAATTCTACCACAGCCAAACGCTTCCAGTTAAACGTCTGACTCGAGATTTTTTATTATCAGGGTTCTCATCTATATTTTTTTCAATTTTCAAACCTTCTGCCACTGATAACGAAGTTAAATCTTCAGTATAGATGTTGGTTCTGGTCTAGAACTATCTAGCATTTCTGTAACTCCCAGTGATTTTATGAATTTAAGTAGTCCATTCCTATCGAGGCTAGCGTATGCTTGGTGGAAATCGATGAAGATGTTTTTGAGGTCAATATTGTATTCACATGCTTTCTCTATCATTTCCCGAATACAGAAGATATTGTCTATTGTGCTTATTCCTGGTCGAAAGCCACTTTGATATTCTCAAATATTTCTCTCAGACCACGTCATAATTCTTCCGTTGCGACTGAAATAATCTCGCAGACAGTAGGACAATATCTCGATAGTATTGTCTCCCTTCTTAAGTACCGGGCACAAATGTGACACGTTGTAATCCTCTGGTATCTTCATTCCCGAAATGATATAAAATATAAGTTTGCGAATCTCTAAATTCCAATCCGTACGATCTCTGTAAATTTCATGAAAGCTGCTAAAAGATATACTCGTCACTCACACACAAGAATTTGACTAGATAGACACGGAACCTAATTTATTCCTTGATAGCTAAAAAGCTGTAAATAACAAGTTAAAAGTTAACTTTAAATAAGTTGTTTGGCGGCGGGAATAGGCGCATAGCCTTCCTCTTTTATATCAGGGATTTAGTGAATTATTAAAACAAAACCCCGGCACAGGATATAGACTTTTTGAGGGTGTTTAACTGTCGTTGGGAATTCGGGAATCTAATACCTTTTGTGACACTGAGTGAGAAGAAACAATAAGAATATATATTTGAGATGTGGGACTTAGTAAATACACTTTGAATGAATTGACTCACCTGGTTTGTTATTCTTCAATCGTGAGGCATATAGGACAACTAAATAAATAAATGACTTTTCACCCCTGTATATAACCGGAAGTGCCACTTTATATGAACGCTGAAACACATTTTTAAAATTTTCTCAAAAACTGCTCTAAGGATTTTGATTAAACTCGGTGTATCATTGTATAATTAAGTGGTCTTTAATATCAGTTAGGTCGTATCCCCATTGATGTCACTTTACAGGGCTTAAATGCCCAATGTTCATATAGGTCTTCCTCCAAATTGCCTTTAATATGGTTTATTTTAAAAAGTTAATCATTTCGCATTATTCAGAATTACAAAAAATGCAACATATAACTTTTGAAAGAATTTGATGAGTTAATAAAGGAGAAAAATAAATAAAAATGCAGAAAAACCTGCGTTGCTATAGACTGTAGTGCCTAAACGAATTTACCGATTTCAATGAAACTTCGCTAAAGTCATTTTCTCGACACCCTTTAAATTTATCTATATAACATACTTCAACGAAAAGAAGCTGGAAATAAAGTTACGAGGGATGGTAAAATTAAATTCCGAATAACTCATAAAGTATACACTTTTTCGTGGATATTGTGACATATTGTTTCAAGTTATTTAAATTTCCTAAAAAATGAAGGACGTTTCATCGAAATAAAAAAAAATCGTTAAAATCGGACAATTAGCAGGAAAGATATGGTCTCTAGTTTTTTTCTCTGAAGAGACAAAAATTTGGATAAATTTAAAATATATTTTGTTAATTGTTGAGACTAAAAAAACCTCTTTTCTACAGATATTTAATAAAGAGTCTTTCCTAAGAACATCTTTCATAAGAAATAAGTACCTAAATTTATACCTTTATTCTCAGTTCTATATTTCAGCACTGCAATCACCACCTCCGGAATCAACTTACTCACTGTCTGCATAGATAACTTTTTCAACTAAAAATATCACTAAATTGACATTAGTCAAAAATGTTGAAATTGGAGTTAGTCATTCTGTGGTTTATAAAAGCAGATGAAGTGACTAGATTTTTATTGCCTACCACCGATATATTAAATAGACATTTTGTAATTATAATGGTCTTAATTACTTGTTATCTGTAAGCTTTAAGCTTTAGCCCCGTTTAAAATGCACTTCAAAAAATTTTATAATAGTCCAGCATTGCCATAAAATAATTTCTATTCAAAGTAGAGCGGTAAGTGAAAGTTGTGTGTTGCGCGCACCAGATTTTTTTCATATATATAACGATAATTAATTTTTAAAAAAAGGGAGAACTGTACAACTGCCGGTATGACATGGTGTTTAAGTAATTCTTGAAGTCCTATTAAACGTAATTACTCGAAAAATAATACTTAGTTTTTAATTTTTTTTTTTCAATAAAACATGATTATATTTTACCATTTTGGAGTGGGGGAAGAGGGCTTCAGCCCGAAAGCCCTCGATCCGCCTATGCATGGAGCCATCCTCAGAGCTATCGTTTGCAGTTCTTTTCTCAACTTTTAAACGATAGAGCCCTGAGGATGATCCACATTTTTCGGTCGAAACGTCGGCTAATCCAATAAAAATATCTTGACTGATAGTGCTGAAAATTTTGTTTATCCTTATGAATATCATTTGATATTGATTCGAGATTATACTAATATCCATATCGGTAAGGGATACCGGTACTTACTCGATATCATTATAGTAACGACATTATAGTAACGAGGAAGCAGTAAAACAGAAAATCGAAAATTCACGACTAGTCACGGGAACAGCCGAACATAATGATGACCTCATTTCCTCGAGTGAGAGGTGGGAATAATGCCTCATGCCTCAGCTGTTCAAAGAAGTCTTCGTGCCAAGCTTTGTTTGTTCAGTTACGTATCTGAATAATGAACTATTTGAATAGTTATTCACGTTGCTCTTAGTAGGAATAACAACCTAGAGAGTGTTGTTTTATTCTTCAAGTTAGCTACACCTATTTCACCAGGTGAGTAAAACGCCATTTGTGTGCTGATTTAAAAATTGTAATACCCAGTGTAAATAATTATTATGATAGCGAATTTCCAATTTTCATTTTTTTTTACTTGTTTAAATAAGTATAAAATTCTATGGATTTTCTTAATACATTTAAATTGAATAAAATTTATTTGTTTACATATATTAAAATATTTAATTTTTATTCAAATCTATTTATAAATTATTATTATAAGGGATTTTAGTCACTACCTAAAACAAACTAAAACCTATGATATTTAAATATTTAATATAAATAAATTTGGCTGAAAATTGAAAGATTGAACTATTAAGACTATATGATCAATTTATTAATTCTCTTTAATAGACTATTAGACAATGTCTAGATGTGTTTGTATTTATTTAATTTGGTGCAGTTTCTTTGCATATTTTTGTGCCACAAATCAATGTTTTGTGTCTTTTAAATTATACCCATCAGATTTATTCCCACGACCTCGGTAAAAAATGTTAGATTCAAGGATTTTATCTAGTTTTATTATCTTTTTAACAAAAGAAGAAATTTATAGATACTCCAATAATCTCAATTCAATTAATTCATATATTTATTTCATGAACTAAAAAGATTACATTTTAAAAATAATATAACTGGTTTTGTATCCAATAAATAATAAAATTAACTTATCATTTCTTTGTATAGCCAATTATTTTTTCTTCTTTTAGACTATTGAATTTAAAGTCCTATACTTGTAATATAAAAAAAGGTTTCATGCAGTAGTAATCGAAGCTATGCGGAAGACTACTCCGCGCACTGTTTTGGTTATGATGCGTACATGGATCCAATTAGAGACGAGTCGTTCGTAGAGGATCCAAAGAAACGGTTTCAAAAACCGAACGTGTTAGGAATGGAAACAAATATCCAATCATCGGCCCTGTACAATGATCTGTTCAGTTGGTTTTTTTCCGTTCTCTGAACGGCCTATGAACAGGAAGAACGACCATTGAATCGGTTTTCCTGTTTGACCGGTATTTTCGTTCATCTATGGAAATACATTATTGCTAGCTGCGATAAAAGCAGTACTGGCCTTACAGAGTAAACAAAAGAATCGCCACACTTGCACCTTACTAAGGAGCACCAAAAGAATGTTTTTATTGGAAAATATTTACCTATACTTTTAATCTGTAGCATGATGGGTCAGTTTCCACTATGGTTAAATCCCAAATTAATTAAGCTCTATACGAAAAACTAAAGTTTCTGCTTCAAAACCCAGGAAACCTGCACTTTCTGTAACCAATTCATTACTAACAGCCTGTTCCATATCCTTCTGTACTATGAAAAGCTAACAGATGACAGACAAAAACATTTACGAGCATTTCTACCTGCGCCAAGTGATGTAAACAAGATACAAGACACACTTCGAATCGATAGCATATAGAAACTTAATAAAATTTACTGGTTCATAATGTCAGCGTGCAATTCACTGGATTCCTTAAGCTCTAATGTTCCTCACACCAACCAAGTGTTATGACTAAGGATAATTTTTGGTCAGTTCAATTAATTATGTGTTTCTTTTTCTTTTTTGGTTTTATTGATAATGTATATAGAAATTAATTGGAATGTAATGAAGTATTATTGTTTAGTTATTGTTTTTATAATAAGTCAATGTCCAGTTAGGATAGACTAGACTCATGTAGGTGAAATAAAGTTATTCATATATGTATCATTTGTACAAGATTGTAAAATAATCTTTAACAAATAAATTCAATTCTATTCTATTCTATTCTATGGTTAAATTGAGATGGCGTGATGGATTTATAAACAGGGAGGAGACCAGTTGCCCCCGAGACGGTGGTTTTTGAACGTTCCCAAAATTACATTGAGATCAAGCGTCTAACATGAAAATTTTAATTGATGGATTCATGCTGGCAGACGTACATTTTTTAAACTGTTTTTTTTTTTTAAGAACTAACTATTAACTATGTTTGAAATAGTTGAAACTTTGTGTAAAGTACTAACGGATCTAGGATTTAATTTTGTGTAAGAAACTGACTATCTATATGAAATTGTGTTTAAGATATTCTTGAAGTCCTATTTAGTGTAGTTACTCGAACAATAACACTTTTAGAGACAATTTTCATAATACATCGTCATATTTTACAAATTTTTACTTTCACTTACGTATATATGTAATATACAGTAAGGGTAAGTATTGCGATCGAGAAAATTTTTGAATCTGAGTTTTCAACGGAAATAGACGTTTTGAGGTACCATGAGTCGAAATGACCAAGTCCCGACAAATGGTCTGTGTGTCTGTGTGTTTGTATGTTAGCAGTCTAGCTCAAAAACGAAAAGTCCTACGAAACTGATATTACGTATTTAAGATAAGTATATGCCTTATATCTACGCTGAAACACATTTTCACAATTTTCTCAAAAACGGCTCTAACGATTTTGATTAAACTCGGTGTATCTTTGTATAATTAAGTGGTCTTTCATATGAATTAGGTCTTATCCCCATTGAAGTCACTTTACAGGGCTTAAATGCCCAATGTTCATATACGTCTTCCTTTAAAGTACCTTTAATATGGTTTATTTCCAAAAGTTATTCATTTCACATTATTCAGAGTTACGAAAAAATGCTAAATATAACTTTTGAAAGAATTTGATAAGAGAAAAAAAATGCAGAAAAAACTGTGTTGCTATAGACTGTAGCGCCTAAACGAATGTACCGATTTCAATGAAACTTCGCTAAAGTCATTTTCTCGACACCCTTTAAATTTATCTATATAACATACTTCAACGAAAAGAAGCTGGAAAAAAAGTTACGATGGATGGTAAAATTAAATTCCGAATAACTCAAAAAGTATACACTTTTTTGGGGATATTGTATATTGGTTTTTAAAAGTTTATGGAATTTCCTAAAAAAACAAAAAAAAATCGTTAAGATTGGACAACTAGGAGGAAAGATATGGTCTCTAGTTTGTTTCCATGCATTGCCGGAAAATAATTTCTATTCATAGTAGATCGGCAAGTGAAAGTTGTGTGTTGCGCGCACCAGATTTTTATTTGGAGTGGGGACTTCAGTCCGAAATTGACAACAGGTTCCAAAATATCTTCCTGATAGTTTTTAGCGGCTGTTTTTAATCCTTTTTCACAAAAATGGAACTTTGTGGTGCCATCAAAACAAACCATCACTGAGAAAGGGTGATCTCCTCTTTCCAATCTTCCAATGACTTCCTAGGCTTCTTCAGAGCTATGTGCGTACACTTCATTATTTCGGTGATTAAGTTTTTCTTCAATTGTAAAAATTGTCTCATCGCTTAACACAATATTTCGATGAAGACCATTGGTGCAACGGCCAAGGAGCACTTTGCATCTATCCACTCTATTTTTTTTTTAGTGGTTAGCCTTTGTCCTGTCATTCTTTGAAATTTACCCATCCTAAGGTCACTTTTTACTATGCGAGACATTGGTCTGACAGAGATTCCCATTTCCCAAGACATGATTGGTTGTTTTCGAATGGGATTTCTTCTGATTCCAGCAGTCACTGCTCTCACTCTATTTGCCGTTCTCACAGTGCGGGGACGGCCCGGCCGAGGTCTGTTGCATACAGATAGGATCTCATTATATCTATTTATACTGCCGTACATGAACATCCGGCTGATACCCAAAGGTTTCTAAGTGTTGAAAATCTCTGACCTACATTTTCCAATTTGTGTAAGGCGATCACATCTATTCGGTTTTCTTTATCATCCCAGTCCATGTTAGCTGAGCAAAAGTAAAATACAAACTAATTGGTATTATTGTCCTGACATATAAAGAAAATAACCTCATTATTAAGGAATTATTAAATACGGATTATCTAAATAATACCCATGGATGTAAACAAAGTTCAACTTATGTAACAGTATTTATGGCCGAACTAGGCATATAGGCTCCCAGACTATTGAATCGGCGATAACATTGGATAACGAAATCTACGAATTGATGTAAATGACTATATATTTGTAATACAAGCCCATTTCTTTTATTACAAAATTTAAGATGTCAACGAGTAATGCCCAACTTTTTCATTTTATTTTAAATATTGATGAGATTTTTTGTATATAAATGGAGATGGTTTTTAAAAAAATGTAATGGTTTACAAATTACCTGGAGCAATGGGTAAAAAGTGGACATAAATGATTTGGAGACATATAATGAATTAACTATTTTGAGGTATATTTTAACAAAATTGACTAGTTATGAACCTTAAAAGTTCTTACGTTATGCGGAGTAAGTAACCTAATTTAAAACATTTGGTACTCAGTGAACGCAGAATTTGATGCTATTCAACTTTTCTTTTATGAGTTTTTTCCTTTAGAGAACTCTTTTGCAAGCTACATCACCATTGATAGTAAATTTTCTCAGTTTTTGACGGATTTGGTAAAAATCAGCGTTTGTTGGTTGTAGTTATCGACCATACCACTTGACCAAATTATTAAGTTTAGGTACTCTCTCTACGCACAATTTAACGTTCTTTAATTTCTTAAAAGATACGTTTTTCGCTACGATGAACCGTTTACGAGTTATAAGTGTAAAAACAAAAATAGATCAAACAAAGATAAAAACAAAAAATTTGGCTTTTTTAGTTGTAAAAAGATTTCCCTTGGTGGCCCCCGTTAGCAATTTTTTTTTACATGTCTCAACATACAAGTGAAAAAACAAAAACTTTTCCCACATTTTTCTCAATGGTTTTCTCGTTTTGATCCTCAAACCACCGTTCTCATTTTTGCAGGAGGCAAGATCCGACCGGCAGATTCTCATTTTTACTTTCCCTTACATATATATGTAATACATAGTAAGGGTAAGTATTGCGATCGTGTTGAGTTTTCAACGAAAATACACGTTTTGAGATCTCTTGAGTCCAAATAACTAAGTCCCGCAAAATGGTCTGTATGTATGTGGACAGTCTAACTAAAAAAAAACCAGATAAACGGTAGTAGGTGATATGTTCGTCACATCGGTTTGACTAAA